GTGATGTTACGTTGCTGTATTGGCTGTTGAACAAGTCCCAGTGCTGTATCTGGTGTGTGGGTATCGGGTTTACAACTGGCTATTATCCAAGTCCTCTTGAAAACATTCTTCTTCGAAATGTTTGCTACATATGACGTGTTTTTTCTCTGGCAAGAATTTCGATGGCAAATCCTCCCTCTTCAAGTTGGCAATCCAACGACAAACTCGTGAATCATGAATCGGAAAGGTGTAATGACAATTTGTTTTTTCACTTTTACCAGATTTATTGCAACATCCAACTGCCATGCACTTGGGCATTGTCACTTTAACGATAGCTGTCGCAAATTAAAATGGTGAAGTTCCTTGCTGGCCGGACTTTTCCTTTGATTTGCTAAACTCTGCTTTTATATTTGGTATGGTAGGTTGAAAGTACTTTTTCTCTCACTCTTTCAAATATTTGCAGTAAATATAAAATGCTATTTTCTAATACCTTCCAAGCCATTCTGTTCACTGTGCTGGCAGATAAATACAGATTCATAAATTACTAATTAGACGTTTATTGAAACTCTGCTTAGCTTAAAGAAAAATCGAAATGTTCACTCACATTTTCTTCAAACGGAAAGATGAGACGATTAGTTTGCAAGAAGAAACAGAAAAAAAAAATGTTACAAAGGACCTTTTGTCCCCTGACTTAATGTAGACAAGATAAAGGTTGGATGGCACAACATTTTTCTTTTTTTTTATTATTATTATTATTTTTATTAGATGGTGATCCTGCAACAATTCATTTTATTCCACAACTTTAACACGTCTGCTTCTGGGTTGCTAATAAATGTGACTAGTCCTACCAAATGAGATGAAAATTAAATTGAAAAAAGGACAAAGTATCTTTCAGGTAAGATTTAGCTACATTGGCAGCGCGAAAGAGATCACCATTAAGCTTAAAAATAACCAGATGGCATTTTTCTTTTTTTTTTTGTGTTAAATCTTTATCCACCAACAGTTCAGCCAGAAATCAAACCTAAAACTGGCTTAACTGCCTGCCATGTGCTGGCAAAACCATCCACAATCTGTTTAGGATTTTAAAGATAAAGAAATGAATAAATATGTAGAAAGGCTAGAGATGAGACGGAAAATGAGTAGCAAATATTTTAAAGAACATTTTTAAAATACTTTTAGAAAGGTAGCTTAACTATTGCATAGGACCACTACAGAAGATTCTAGTAAAGTCTGGCTCTGCTATCAGAAAATGAGGCATGTTTCAAGCTCGAATAGAAAGCCTTGGGAGATCCCAAAGCTTCTTGGGCTGCTGTGACAATCTTGATCTTGGATATTTTCATTAAGATATTAATGATCATTAGAAATCTTTGTCTGTAATTTAGTGTCTCTGTGAGCAGGTCATGCCTCAGGTCAGCCTCCATGTTCCCTAATATGTTTCCATTTTTTTCCAGATGAGCCTATATCCTCATATGAGGACCTAAAATGGATTATTGTATAACCGCTGGTAAGCAGGTCAGTACAGCTCCTTGTGAGGACATTGCCATGACACATGAGGAGGATTTAAGAGTGTCTGAAGTCTCATTTTGCTTAACCTGATGTCCTACATTTAAAAGAAAATGGGCTAGTTTATTTTCAGTCTTAATTCAAGTGAATCCCTAAAGAGTTCACATATCAAATGCAATGAGTTCCCATCGTAAGACATAAATAAGCTTCACAGTTCTACTAGAATCCTCTTAACTTCACATTCTTTTCACCTTCTATTCACTCTAGCTGTATTTTCTTCCGTATTTTTCCCTTCTCCTGTCTGCAGAAATTCCATTCAGAGATACAGCCGGTTGCGATGGAAACTGTCTTCACCCGCTCCCTGCTGATGGTGGGTGCGGCTGCTGCAGCAATTTCTCAGTTAGACAGTGTTGCCAGGCAACAAGTCACATGTCGTTACCTAGCAACAACACCACTGCAGGAACCTGACAATCCTCTTAACCTTTCTCTTCCTCCATTCCCCCGCACTTTGCTTTTTTCCCTTCTATGCATCTTTTGCTATTTCTTTCTTAAACTGCTTTTAATGGATTTCTGATTCTTTAGTACAATATCTGATAATAGCTTGTGTCCCCCTCTGGCATGACACAAATGTCTTCCTCATGTGGGCTTGAACGGCTTATATAAAATGTGAGTTTGAGGATGCTGCACTTAAATGCACAATGGTGTGCTGATAAAGTTCAACACTGAAGAAGATTAACTGCAGCTATGATACTGTGCCATTGTTGGTACTTTTAAATGTGCCACCAAAACAAGCTCAGTCTTGTCAGTGTCTAAGCCTTTAAATAGTGTTAAAATAAAAAAAAAAAGCAGGCTAAATTATCACCAATTACTAAGATTCATTAGCTAAATAGATTATCTAAAGACAATATCAATATTCAATGCTTTGCAAAAAAGGCACCTGTTTTAGTTATTTATTAAGCCAGAAAGAGAAAGATCTGGGCAGTGCTACCTAAAACTATAGATTCTATTTGTATACATGTATTTCTTTCTTGTTTAAAAAAGAAAACATTCCAGTAACGACAGCTACAGACAGAAGTACAGAGACCATCTATCACACACTGCCATGCTACCCTTCAACTTGAGGTCCCCAAGCCTGTTCAAGTTCCTGCAGCCCGACAGAAAATCAATGAATGGAAGCACAGCTGAAGGAGGGGAGCACTCTGCAGCACTGCAATAATTCACCAAAGTTTTCCAGGCCTTTTTGCCACTTTCAGCATAATGTAGTAGTACCAGGTGGTCTTATTCATTAGCTCCAAGGCAGACGATTCTGCAAATGATGCAACACAGGTCAAATCTAAGGCTCTCTTTGCTCTTAAAAAAGTTGTTTGACCTTTTTGTGACTCTAGCAGTCTTTATTTGATTGTTATGAATGTTAAAAAAGGGGGCAGAGATAGAAGAAGAAATCCAGCAAATGAACCAGACTAAATTCTGCAAATGAGGCTCGCCTCTATACAGTGAATTACACAGAAGCAGATAGGGATTGCTGACATTAAGTCAATAGTACTTAAATTTTTTGTACTGTTATATATCTGCAATATCTGCAATATTAATATTTTATCTCCAATATTAATAATAAAATTGTCCAAGAGGGTCTAAATAAGCTAATAATCATCACTGTTTGAAATGCACTTAGGAGGCAGTGCAGAACCAATGATATCTAAGATGTCTAAGGATTACTTTTTGTGAATGTGCTTTGTAGACAATAGCAGCTCCAAAAATCTTAATTTAATTTTTTTAACATCCAGAGGTTTGCTTTTGTCCTGTTCCTAACATAAGTTCTTGAGCCGAGCTCAAAAAGCCATAACTAGATATTCTTTTTAAGAAATTTCTAGGAGAAAGTAGAATTTACTTAGTCATAGCACTTAGTCCAGGTTAGGGTTATCAGCCAGAGCAGACTCAGACCATCAAACTAAATTGGACTACATTACTGCATTCACCGTCATGCTCAGTATAATGCTATTTTTATTTAAAAAAATATCTTTATACAAAAATGAGTGTGATTGCCCTGCAAGGCAGATAAATTGTTGTGAGATTTGTGAATTCACAAAATCCTGAAAAAATGAAGCCAACAGATGCATTAGCCTCAATACAGTAATGTCTGGGAAGGATGAAATGTGCTGATGTGTATGAAGTCAACACGTAGACTAGTTCTGCACCAGTTCTAGATGGAATACTCTGTTTCTTTTTGAGAAATGAGCAAAAGGACACGATTTGAGATTTTGTGGATTGAAGGCAGACCGGATTTGGTCATTTTACTCCACCAGTTGGGGAAACAAATCAAGAATCTGATACGTCACAGCTGCTACTGCTGCTGTGATTGGCTAAAAGCAGGCATCCAATCAACTTGAAGAACTGTAGTGTCCTTCCATTTTGCGAACAATTTCCACATGAGGCTTTCCAGATGGATACTGTGTAGAATCCAAATTGAACTACACATATGGTATAGCTATAATTAGTAAATATAATTTTCCTTACAACTGAAAAATGCATTTTAAATTTGTGTTGTTTTCTGAGGTTTTTTGGTTGGAAATACTATTACCTTATATTAAAATCTGTTTTTATAACAAACAGCAATTTAAACAACAAATACATTTATGAGATGACCTTTTTTCTGTACTGTAAGGCATTGAAAACCTTATACTACTGCTAAAACAAATCCTAATACCTTCAACGACGCCACCTACTCAGGATTTGTTATTTCTTATTGAAAAGGCTGCATTCTTAAAAAAAAGCAGCTCACCATGCTCCTGGCTGCATGGGAGGATACTGTTGATTTTCTCTGGCTCTGGATGAGCACATCAGGCATTTGGCTTCTAATCTAAATCTCATCTATGCCCACCCGGGCAAAAAGATGTAGACATCATATCAATAATTCTTTTGAATCCGTTCAAAATCAAAGCAAAGTCTCTGTATTAAATCTAATTTATATCTGAGCCTTTACATTTGGGAAAGTGGTATAATTTGTTCTATAAAGCTTATATTTTGCCTGCCAGTAATGCCTAAAATAAAGGTTACCAAAGAAGAAGACTGACATTTTGGAGAGTTCATTCATCCATATAAATGCTCAGAGTTAGATAGTAAGAACTGCTTCAGATTCTGCATCTGTGTATTATGCTTGATATAGCTTAAGATTAAATATTGAGCTTAACACACAAACCTATCAGTTCTGTGACAAAAAATGCCTAAACTCAGAATTAATCCAAGACATTAATACCCAGGTTTTAACTTTTATAATGCATTTTTTTAAAATATGTGATTTTTGTCTTGGATACTCAGCTATTTATTTTCATTTTTCAAAGGGAAATATTAAAAGGTTTCACATTTGTAATGTGCAATTTTGTTAAATTGAGTCCAGGATTCAGATTGTAGAGATACCCTCTCCTAAAATGAAATGTTGCTTGATAGTTTTGTTTCAGATTATCAGCCAAAAACTTAATTTAGTCCTGTTTTAATAAAAGAACATCCCGATGAGCATTCACCTGCAGCACTGGAGACAGTAGGCCAGTTCTGGACCAGCATCCCTTGGGCGCCCTGCATCACTGAGGACTCCTCCATGTGGACAGAACTAGAAGACAGATCAAACACAAAAGCAATAATTTGCATAATTAGTTTTTTTGGAGTTTGGGTTTTTGTTTATGACTTTTAGTAAAAGAAAAAAAAAGAGATGTTTCTGTAACAACTGATTATCATCTAACTAGAGAGTGATATTTTTTCAAGAGTTCATCTATTTTTGTTATTGATCACTGCTTTACAGATAAGATTACAATAAGATTACAATAAGATTAGGCTACATGATATGGTGAAAAATAATTTTTCATATAAAAACTTGGGACATACTAAAGATGGGATGTTTCATGCACAGCAGTGCACAGCATATGCACCCAACTGTTGGTTAGGAATTCTTCTGGATGGATTACTGCATTAAAGCAGGCAACTCATAATATCAGCCAGTGGCGCTCGGGATTCGGCTGCTTTTCAGGTCTCTGCTTCTTTACTCTTGTGTCTCTCATCTTCTCCTTCCCCTTAATCCATAGATCCCCTTCATTGTTTATGTTTAGGCCAGCGTTCTCTATTACAGCACAGCGATGCTACGAATGTTATTAGTTGTGACGGCTTGTCAGGAGAAGGAAACGTGGTGTTCTAAAAAAGACTGATAGCTACTTCATCTTTTGACTTTGTTGAACGTAAAAAACAAAAACAAATGACATATGGATAAAAACATCACTGACAATGGAAACATTTTTCTGGACTTAAACAATAAATGTTTGGTGCCTCTCTAGCCTGACTTCAAACACTGCCACCTTGATTTCCAAAAATCAGGCAAAGTTCAATTCTTTCAAATCATAAGGCTTTGGACCAATAGGTAGATATGTCTCATTGATTCTCTATTCTTTCAGCAAAGTCGGGGTCCTTCGTTTTTCCCTACCTGAGTTTCCCTTTCACCTTGAAAAGAAGACTATGAAATGTAGTAGCAGTTTTATTGTCTTATATCAGAAATCAGAATCAGAATATATCCTACAACATTGCTCTATACTTACTTAGCAACAAAACAGTACATCTTGAAGTTCAAGTATGAGTCTTAGCAATAATAAAGTCTCTAATGCTGTAGAATATAAATATCTGGCTGGCTTGCCAAATATGGAAGCAGTTGTACTGCGTTATGTAGTCCTGTTTCTGACCTTATGTCCACTTAGCAACACAGAGAATGCAACATGTAAACAGAGAGTCTACAAGCTGGGAGTCACGTACGAATCTTGGCAAAAACAGGGTTCCTACTGGCTGACTCGCACGCAATCGGGTCACAGGCCAAGAACTTCCAGGAAGTTCTTCAGAGCGTCCAGTCGTGCACATGCATCCACACAGTGCGTTGTGGAGCCTATAAAAGGCCGCCCACAATGGATTAAAGGTGGGGGAAAGACAACATTTAACAGCTTCAAAACAGTTTTTTTTAGCAAAAGCCCCCTCCCGTCTCTTCTTCACTCCTTGTCCTATGAGCCTGTCTGTGTGTGCGCTGACACACACACACACGCTGGAAGCTTAAAAATGCCACGACGTTATGTATCTGTTAAAGCTGAAGTCTGTAAGTTTTTAAAAATCACTTTTTTGTCATATTGGCTAAAACTGTCCCTATGCCCAGACAGCAGTACATGTGATATGTAACCTGTGAAAAAAACTGCTTCAATTGGTACCGCCTACTGCCTGTATTTCACTCTGGAAAGAATAATTCGGGACGAGTCAAAACAACCAATCACAGCCAGAGGAGCGTCTGATGGAGTGTCAATGAATACCCCCCCCCCCCCCCCCCTTCTGGTCGCATGCGGTACCCGCGCAGATGCTGTGAGAGGGGTGGAGCTTGGAGGTGGGGCATGAGTGAAGCAGAGAGGGTGGGGGAGTGGCGTGAAACCTGTTTTTCTTCAAATTTTCAGTCGAAGTCTGCTCTCTCCTCAATGTTACAGACTGCAGCTTTAAGCAGGACTACATATTGTTATAAACAAAACTATGTTAGAAGCCGGCATGTGTCTGTCTATGTGTGTGTCTGTCTTTATGTTCTTTGTCTGTCTGTCTGTTCTATGTTGTTTGTTCAATGTCAACATGTCTGTCTGGGGTATAAAATATTTGTTCTATTATGTTTCAGTATAAACAGATCAATAGGAGAATTAAACAGCAGATAATTAGATTACAGTTATGTTAAAACATAGATTAATATGACAACAAACATAAAATCCCATGAAGAACTGGATTCTCTCTATGCATCCACGTCCGGACATATGATAAGAAAGGTATGCAGGAAATCTGTTGCTGAAAAAGTTGAATTTCTGCACGTTCTTACTATTTGGATGCGTTTTGAGTAATTCAGTAATGAGTGGGACCAAAGTCATCAGAAAATACTACAAGACAAACAATAATAAAACTTTCTAAAAAGAAAATACAAATAATTTGCACAAGAAAATACGAATAATCTGGTCTAGACGATTATAAAGTGTTTGGTTTTAGTTATATTTTGTTTGTTGGTTTGCAAATGCTATCGATGTTGCTGTGATTTTTGGAGGTGAACCTTGAGAGGAGCTGTAAATATATGCAGTGTTGATCTTCTTGTTCAAATGTGTGTAAAAAGGGAAAAACTTTGGTCAATTTTATAACAAATATATTGATTAATATATTTACATCTTACTATGTCTTGAAATTAACATGTTAAAGGTTAGTGCTGTAAACCCCCCCCCCCCGCTCCCACCTCCCACCCACCCAGTAAAGTCCAAAAATGGTTCTGAGTTCTGTCCCTAGGCAAACGGAAACACAACACACACATTTTCTACACACAGACATTATGCCTGACACACACACAGCTGCTTGTTTTCGCTGAGAGGCAGAAGGAGGAGCACAGTTACCAGAGTGCACACAGGGGCGATCAAAATAGAATTAGGGCCCGAGGGCTTCGAAGCATTTTTAATTTAATTGACAACTTATTTTTTTCCCCTGCTACACCCGGCTAAGCTGCTTCGCTTCTTCTTCTTCTTGTTTACTACTAGCGGTTGGCTTTGGTCGCAGCACTGCCACCTTCTGCTCTGGAGTGTAATCGCTTCCTCTATGAGAAAAAGGAGCAGCGCATGAACCGAACGAAACGCACGTGAACCGAACCGAGACAGTCGAACCGAACGATTCTGACTGTCTTCATAAATCGTCCCATCCCTAATATATATATAAAACCTGAAAAAATGGTTAAGACATGACTATTTGTGTGCAATGAATAAAAGACTTGAGTTTTTACTTTTTAAGTTGAATAAATCATAATAATAAGAAAAAAAAGTCTAGTAATATTCTAATGAAATCAGAGGTAGTTAAATCTTTGTCATTTCATTTGTCATTTGTCTCATTTGATGCTTTCAAAATCCCCCAAACAACAGTTTACAAAGATATATCATAAGAACATAAGGGTGCCTTAATGGAGGAAAGAACACTGCAGTAAACCACTGTTGATGCTTGCTGAAGCTGCTTTGTTATTGAGGTTTTAAAGCACCACAGAAAACACTTAATACTTTAACTCAATTCTAGGGCCAGTATGAGTATCAAGCAAATAAGTAAAGCATATTATTTTGACATAATGAAATAAAAAAAAAATATTAAGCGTATATGGTATCTCTTTTTGCATTTATCTCAAACAACAGAAGTTTCAGAAAGGTTTTAATCTGGAAAAGGTGGGGAACTATAAACAGACCATGTATCAAATATTTTTGTCTTAAAACCTGTAAGGTTTGCTAAATAAAGATTGACTTTTGGGTAGATTTACTGCTCAAAATCATATCTTATTCATACATAAGTTAATAGCACTTACTGACATTATAGAAACTAGGTAGACTCTTTGATTTTGTTCATGTTTCATTTTGTTATTTCAATTGAGAACTTTGCATTATAAATTCTAGATTCAATGCCTTTTCATGAAATGGCTTGGGATTTCTATAAAAAAAATCATCTAAAACATGAACACTGAACTGCTTCACAGAAACTTGTGAGTTGACATGAGCTAGGCAGGTTTGACTAGAATCTGACTGTCACTACAGAAAACCTTTGCTTTAACATAGTTGCTGCCCTTTAAATCATTTAAATTCAAACCCCAGTAAACAAAAAAACACTGCAGCATCTGCAATTCAATACTGATCAAGCTAAAAATGAAAACATAATGACAAAGCTATGTGTGGACAGAATAAGTACAGTCAGATAAATATTATCAGTGTAATTGTTTTTATGTATGCAAGAAATGAGAATTGAACTATTTTGGAACCTGATCAAGTTCTTAATGATTTTCAAAATGTTCTAAGAGGAATAACCCTCACTATGACTATATATGTATTTAAAAAATATATATACAAATTGTTACATCCCTTAAAAGCAGAATTAAAAAGTTCTATGTTTTATTTATACATTTTTCTTTTATTTCATCATTTCAGAGTGAGATTTTTCAAGTCTTTATTTTTTGTGATTCTAATAATCGTGGATAAGCAAATTTCAGTATTACATAATATTAAGAAATAATTATACCTTGATAAAATAAATATGTTACTGACTGGTACTTTAAACTGACATTTGCTCCATCCTCTTGGAGCAACATAAACAGTGCAGATTGACAAATCCAATCATGCCTGCGCAGAGGTTAAGGGATAATATCACCCACCTCTGTGTCTATGTATGTTATAAGCACTGTCACTTTAAAAGATGGCAGCAGAAAATTGCAGTGATGATTTGTGTTAATCCATGTCGTGTTACAGTGACTTGATGACAGCATACATGCTATGATCTCCTGCTCACCATAAGAAATTAACACTAATATCCAATTAAATCAAACTTAGATGGACTCGATGATCGCACAAGTGAGCAGTAAGCACAGTTAGCATGAAATTAGAAAAAATGTGTACAAAGCGTGGGGATGTGAAGGAAACTCATTAGTTCCTGATGTTCCAGCTGTCGTCATACAGTATGCAGATGGAGATGCTCTTTGAATACACATTTAGAAATGTTTGCCTGACCTATAACCATAGTTGCATTTTATTCAGGTTGTTTTGATCTCCTTAAATACTGAAATATTCTGGTAAATATAAGCAGATACATAATAAACCAACCTGTTGTAAGAATTTGGGTATAAGCTTCAATTAGTCATCTTTAAATGCAATTTCCATAATCAGTTTGCCAATGAGTTAGTATTTTTGGATTTAATTTAATAATCAAAGCTTATGATAAAGAAGATATAGTTCATATGAGTTTAAACTGCCTCATATGAGAGGGACAGATGTCCATGGGAGGTAGCTTTTACAGCAGAAATTATCTTGTGTGCATCACATAATCTGAGAAAGGTCATCGTCAGCTCATTTTGTCCTTCATGCTCCATACGTAAGAACTGGAAGGGGAGGTGGGGGGATACTTGAATGCTGATGACCTATATATTACCACACTGCAGAGGAAAGCGGTTACTGGATCCACAGGCAGAGCTGTTCAGGCTTTTTTTCCCCAATGGAGGAGGACAGAGGTTCAAACAAACTCTGGGGCATACCCAGAAGCAGTTACTGAAAATGAGAGATGCTGAGCAGTAATATGATGCTGCTGTGTCTTTTTTAAAATGCATATTACAATGAGATTACAGTGTGTGTAAGAATTGAAAAATCTCATTTGAAACAATACTTATTGATGCACATTTTAAAGTTAACGCAAAAAGTAAACAATCATATGGGTTTTATCATAGTATGTAATGGGGTTAAAAGGTTAGTGCATCTCTGTTCAAAAATCTTCAATCTTCAACTTCTTGATTTAGGTTTCTCCTCATAGCAAAACTTATTATCCAATGCTCTAGTAAAATAAACTGGTCTTGGCCCCTGTTAGGGCCCCTGTATTGAAGACGGGATACTAACACAGTTTCTTTAATGTGCTGAAACAGAAACCATCATTGATTGGTGCCTTACACCAATTTAAGTTTTTACCTTTACTGTTTTACTTAAAAGAAAAAAAAAAATTAATTAAGGAGTTGCAATTATAGCTTTAGCCATAGCAAGAGAAAAAAATTACAGTTTTAATTTACTAGATTAGCCTGCAATATTCCACAAGCAGATTTTTGCTCACTTAATTAGATCATGAAGTAGTGAACTATTTTATTTACTTATTCTCTGTGCCCAAATGAACAAAAAAGGACTTGTTCCCCTGGTAAATTAAATACTTCAAAGTGGTTAACTCTATAGCACTAATATTGGTCATGAGATGACAGGTAACAATACAGATAAGTTGCTCTGTAAGGTGTGAATTATTCAAGTTAATAAAGTAAATTTGCCATTGTTCAATCTGTGTGAATGTCTAAACCTTTAGAGGAAAAAACTAAATACATCGCATAATTGCCAAAGGTTCATCTTTGATCTCATCTGACCAGGGCTAAATCTTTCAGATGTTTGCTGTAATCTAACAGGTTTGTACATGTGGCAGACTACAAATACTTCCCTCTGTGCTTTTCATTTAACAACTAATGATTCTTATCACTTTGACATTAAAGCCAGCTTAAATCATTTCCCTTTAACCAATTCTCCCACTTGAACTTTGCTTAGATCTCAACAGCTCCTGTAGAATACCTGCACAGCTCTTGCCTATTTCTCTGATTAAAGTTTTCCTGGTTGATTGACTATGGTGGAAAGTCCTCTTTACTAGGTTTGCAGTCATGTATTTTTTTTAATAATAATTTCTATGATGCTTTGTTAGAAGTTTAAAGCTTTGAGAATTATTTTTCGTGACCTAGCCCAGTTTTGAAGTCAAGACAATGTCTGTGTAAACATTCATTGAAGAAGCACAGTTAACATTGTTCTTTAATCTAACGACCAATTTATCAATAGGAAAGACCAAAGATGATGTTACATGGGGAGATATTTAACAGTCAAGAAAAAGACAAAATTCACATGATTCTTTCACTATTTAGCCATCCATCATCTACTGTGAGCTCACGTAGTGAGCTTCAATTTTATAGTTAACAAATTGATTCCAAGGGTCAAAAGTATATCTATTTTTTTATTACCAAATATCAAATCTGTTTTGAGTACAATAACAGCTATACTCAAATCATTATTTCTGGTTGAAAATGTAGCTAGTCCAAGAAATATTTGTGCATATTGATCTAAAGAGTCGTTTGAAAAAGCAAGTTGCAAAAAAGATGGTTCCTGGGTAGTCTTTGGGTCCACCAAACCTGCATTCAAGCATTGCCAGCAACCTCTCTCACAAAATAACAACAAAACAGATTGATAAAAAAATGAACAAAAAGAACTGATATTGTAAGATTTGTTCTTGTCAACTCCTGTACACACACACATTCTGCTATATATAGTGAGGACCATGCGTGACTCCCATTGACTCCTATTGATTTTCAGTCATTTTCAACCCATTCTATGCCCTACCCATAAAACTAACCCTAAATCTAACCATTACCAATGCATACCCTCACCCCTGACCCATTTGACACCTTAGCCCTAAACCTAACCATTAGCAAAATAGCATGTGAGGACCGCCAAAATGTTCCCACTTTGCAACAACTGGTCCTCAATTTGATGTTGAAATTGGAAAAATGGTCCTCACTCTGAGGGCTAGACAGACACACACACACACCTAAATGAAGCAGGAGTGAACTTCATTCACCCTGCAATGCATTCTACAATATTGCTTCTGTTCTTACCATTTTTGTTTCATTTTCATAACACAGCACATTATTTGTTACAGCCTAACCCAGTTTATTGGTAGGTTATGACAAAGGAGGACAGAGTCTTTGTTATTAATAATATTAAAAAAATTAATATTAACAAGTAAGTTATATACTTAAAGTGGTGTAATTCATACCATTGTATTAAACACACTTAGGTATATATTGAATAAAAGTATTTTAAAAATCAGGGACTTAGATATACTCAAGGAAAAAGTGTTGCAATCATCCCCGGTCTCACCTACTAAACATTGCATCCTGGAAACATTTATTGGTTTTAATTCACAAAACTAGTTTATCTGCACATATCTAAATCAGAGCCTTGCGTATTAGTGAGGCACTGATTTAGATATGATTGAAATCATTAAAGAACTTTAACCATCTTAAGAGTTCACATAAAGTTGAAGGGAGGGGAAAAAAAAGCTTACCTCTGCACCCCTGCCCTCAATGATGCAGAATATCGCCAGTCAGCATTCGGAGCTTTTGGCTGAGAGAGCATGAGGAAGAAATAGCAGAAGAGAAGCAATGGATGGAAAGAAACACAGAGGGAGAGAGACAGGGAGAGTAGAGAGTGTGTTTAATTTGATCTCATAGTGTGCATGGCCGTGCAGGGCCATGGCTTCATCTATTATTTATCAAGCACATCCCAGGTCAGGATTTGGTTGGAAGGCTGCACTTGTGTCACTCCATCACAGCAAATGCAGCAAAAAGATTTTAAACATGGCTGTGCTGAGCCAATATGACAGATTCTTTTTGACAGATTATTACTTAATCTTCGAATTTGACAGCTGAAAGTGTTTAGCCCTGTCCCTGAGTGCTCATGTCTTTTATCAGTCTGATGTGTGTGGGTTTGTGAATATCTAGAGTAAATCTGTCTGCTACTGATATATCTAGTCTGAAAGTTGGAAGGTCTCAGTAGACATGAATTGCTGCATTTAAAATCCAGAATGTAACAAACTTTATTGCTAAACAGTTGAATTATATTTCTATGGAACTAACCAGTACAAAAATAGGCTATTTTTTTTTATCAAGCTTTCGTGTTTAGCATTAGCCAATAGCTCTATTTTTCTTAGTGATTTTGAAATGTTTAAACCTTACAGTGAAATTGCTGATTTTAGATACAAAAAAATGTGGCTAACCAAACCTCAAATGAATAGTGAACTTGCTTTAGATCAAGGGTTGAAAAGGGTAAAAAAAATCTGGAATATTCAAAACCATCCTCGAAACATTCCAACTACAGTTAATCTAGAACAATTTTGAAGATATTGCAAATGCAAAAATTTAATGAGATTAAAAGAAATTAAAGGGTATTAAATAATAAAAAAATTTGACATTCTGGTGTGGAAAAGCATCAGGAGTGACACTAATGCAGAATAAGTCCTGAGCAACAAAGTCTGCATACATTTGATTCACAAGACGACAGGATAAAGAAAATACCCATAATGAATATAATCATAATAGTCTCACACACATTTCAAATTTGAAATATAAAAGCTTCACAAAACTATTAATATATACATGTTTTAATTCAAAATAAAAGGACCAACCTCTGGGCAGATCTGAAGAGAAGCATCAGGCATACTCAGTCTCCGTACAAATCCACTTCCACTAGTGAAGAAACGGTCAGCACCACTACCCCAGGTGCCACTGATTGGCCGACCCGTGTTGTAAAACATAAAGGTGTCGCTGCCAGAAGTAGCAGTCAAGCAGGTCTTGTAGCAGTAGGTTTTTGTCAGTGAGCCATTCCCACGCACCTCAATGTAATGAGGCTCCACTTTCAGGTCTCTTCGAAGCACCACATTGTTATTAGGCTGTCCTGCGGCCCCTCCGACACCTCCCCCGCCTGCACTGACACTGCTGTTTCCACCATCTGGGGGAGGCTTCTGTGAGCCACAGCAAGGAGAACAGGAACCAGGCTGGGTGCAGTAAGCATGGCAACGGACAATGGCAAGCACCACCACGGTGACCAAGAATACAAATGTTGTGGCGCTCAAAGCCACAATAAGATAAAGAGTAACGTTTGAGAAAAACAGCGTGGCATGAGGTCGCATTACCTTCTTGGTATCAGGTGCAACTTTTGGTGCCACCTCCATGACTGCCACATTAATAGTGGCAGTAGAGGAAAGAACTGGCTCTCCGTGGTCTTTTACCAAAACTGTAAGAGCAAAAGAGGTGGAGTTGTCCTCCAGGATTCTCCGGGTTGTCCGGATCTCTCCAGTGTGCTCATGCACTTTGAACAGGTCCAAGTCAGTGGCTGTCTCCAGTACGTAGACCAGCCAAGCATTTGGACCAGCATCAGCATCATATGCCACAACTTTGGTCACCAAGGCACCAGGCTCTGCATTCTTTTGAACTGTCTCTAAGGAGCGTGTCCCATTGCCAGCAGGACTTACTATTAGTGGAGCATGGTCATTCTGATCCATAATGTAGATGTAGACAGTAGCAACTCTACTTAGTGGAGGAATGCCCCCGTCCTGGGCTTTGACCTGGAAATGAAACTCTCTCAGTGACTCATAGTCGAAGGCTCGCAGGGCATAAGCCTCCCCAGTATCGGCCTTCACAGACACATATGAGGTGACAGGAATGCCGTGGTTGTTGTCATTGAGCACAGTGTAGGTAATGCGTGCATTCTCTTTGATGTCTGCATCTTGAGCTTTCACAGTACACAAAGAGGCCCCAGGGGCATTGTTCTCAGTCACATATACTGTGTATGAAGTCTGCTCAAAGCGTGGCGGGTTGTCATTAACATCCGCAACATCCACTTGTATCGTCTTCTGGGAAGATAAAGGAGGGTTTCCTCCATCCGTGGCACTCAGAGTGACATTGTAGGCATCAGTGGTCTCGCGGTCCAGGAAGGCTGAGGTAACCAGGGTGTAGTAGTTTCTGAATGACTTGATCTTGAATGGAAGGCCTGCTGGGATCTCTAAGGTCACCTGCTTGTTAGTGCCAGAGTCCCGATCAGTGACACTAATGAGGGCTACAACTGTATCTGCACGTGCGTCTTCCCTCACAGGGCTTGAGAGAGATGACAGCACTATCTGAGGGACGTTATCATTCACATCCACAACCTCCACAACCACCTTACAGTGGGCTGCAACAGCTCCCGGGCCTTTATCCATTGCCTGGATGTACATCTCATACGAGTTGGTCTCTTCATAGTCAACATTGCTCCTCACTCTTATTTCACCTGTATTGGTGTCCATGCTAAACATCTGTCTCACTCTTTCAGGGGTGTAACTACTGAAAGAGTAATAAACCTCTCCGTTTGTGCCTTCATCCAAATCTGTTGCATTTAGTTTGATCACCAGCGTGTCTTTGGGGGAGTTTTCAAACAATTTCACCTTGTAGACTGAACTGTCAAAAACAGGATTGTTGTCATTTGAGTCCAGGACCCGGATATTGATTTTGGCTGTCCCTGTTTTTTCAGGTATTCCACCATCCACAGCACTTAGAATTAGCTGGTGGTAAGGCGTCTGCTCACGATCAAGGGGCTTTTTAAGGACTAGCTCTATGTGCTTTGTGTTAAGGGAGGGCTTGTTTGATACCAGCGCGAAATTCTCGTTTGTGCTGAGCTGATACATGCGGACAGAATTGGATCCAACATCTGGGTCCTGGGCGTTTTCAATCGGGTAACGAGATCCCGGCATAGCAGATTCAATTATTTCCAGTTGGTACTCATCTCTGGGGAACTGCGGCGCATTGTCATTTGCATCCAAAACCTCCACCTTGACATAGTGCACCTCTGTAGGATTTTCTACCATCACCTCCAGATCAATGATGCAGGGGCTGGGTGAATCACACAGCGCCTCTCTGTCGATCCTGTCATTGACCAGCAGTTTCCCATTTTTAGGGTTGACAACAACGTACCGCTTCCCACTGATGGAGGTTAACTTGATCTTACGGGTGGAGAGCCTTCGAATATCCAGCCCCAAATCGTGCGCCAGATCACCTACCAGAGCTCCGTTTTCCAGTTCTTCTGTTATCGAATACTGCAACTGTCCAAACGCAAGGCCACAAAATAAGGAAAACAGCACAAAATAATAAAAAGGCACATTCCTCCCTGTCCAGTTGCATGTCCCCGTCACAGCCATGGCAAGCTCACAGGATCCTCAGACGGATTAAACGCAGCCTTCCGCCTTTTTTGCTTGCAGTATCTCGCATCCCAGCACCTCATTAAGGTGGACTAATTGGTCTCCCAGTGAATGTAAGAGGAGCGGCTCATCCATCGCGCTGCCCAGATGAAATCAACGCTCCACGGTGCACCCATCTTTTTTCCTTTGTCCGTGATGCGTTTTTTTCCTCTCCTCACTCCAAAGCGCGTTGCTGACGGGTGTGTTTCCCAGCCGCTGGAGCTGTGAGACTAACAAGGCAGATGAAACATTCACACACAAAACCGGAAACGAACATGTTTGATTTCAAAGTAAAACCACATATTCTTCTTCCTCTACTTCTTTGTATAAATTAATAGTATTATTTTTTTGGCCTATTAATTATTATTTGCAGTGAGGAAGAAGGCAAAAAAAGTATATAATTTTACACAAGCCTAAAAAAAAAATAAAATTATTTATTTTATACCTTTTTATATGCCAAGTCTTTTGTCATTGTCTGTATGTCTCTGTCATCAACTAAGAGGTAAAACGATGTAACTCAGATTTTTCATGAAGAAATCCAGCAGTTATTTAGATTAACAGGGAAGCAAACATCAGAAATAGTTAAAAAATAAAATAAAATAAATATATCTCAATTTTTTATTTAGCCCAGAAAGTTGCACCGAGGAAATATTTCAGAACTTGTTCATTTATTCACTTGCATTTCCTTGTAGTTTGGAGTCTAGTTAAAGGTATAAAGTGGAATGGGAGATTTTTTACTTCTAACACACTGAACATCTTATTATAAAGTTTGATTAAGGTGAAGAAATCTTATTGCTAACCTTTGAAACAAACAATCACACAGTGATGTAATATCATTCTCAGTTCAACCAATAGATTTATATAAAAAGAAAAAAGTCTACTATAAGGATGGAATAAAAATCGAATACAGTAACTAGGCATTTCAGCGGAAGTGGCTGTGTTTACTGATGCCTGCTTTACATTGAAAGCAGCGCATCCCACCCTGGCGCGCGCTCAGACTCCAGCTCTCTCCTCCTCTCCGCGGTGGCGCATCTTTCTTCCATCCACACCCATTTCTCTCCTATCTCATCCCTCCATTGCGATACTGGTTCTGAGAACTACTAAAGACAACACCTCCAGTGAGAAAAAATAAATAAATAAATACACAGAAGAGATCGTGGAAGGAAGGGAGGGAGAGGGCAAAAGGAAAAAAAAAAAAAAAAAAAAGCACCAATCATTTTTACACACATGCCCCCAGTGACAGCATTTCGGTTAAATAAATGATTCTGCTGAAAACACTAATGAAGAGATAATAAATGTGAATATAAAAAAAGAAAAACAAATTTTGGGCTTGGATGTGTGAATATAGCCGCCTGCAGTCCACCAATCCCATGTTTACAGACAGAAAATACGCGTCTGCAGCCTCAGACGCATGTTTAGAGACAGGCTCCTGCTTTTGTCGTCCTTTGTCTTCCACGCTTGACTCGCAAGGACGGTTATTTCGCCGGTAGCTATTCTGCGGCGCAGGCGGCCAACCCATTGGCAAGCATTTGGGGAAGACAGCATCGCCCTGACAATCGCAACCTTCCCTCCTTATGGATCACTGTCAGCAGTGGACCTCACGCTGTCAGGTCATATAACCGTTTCGAATACAACGCGAGGGGGACCTCATGAGGCCAGCAAAAAACCTAATTCCTCCTTTGGAGAAACAGGACGAATTCACCATGCATGTGGGGCCAAGCAACAGTATAAACACCCCATGAATATTTACATGTTTTTCACATTACAACTTCAAACCAAACAGAAATTCCTGAAATATTTGATTTAAGATTACAAACAAAACTTTAAAATAAGAGTTGTGGTAAACATGATTCTAAATGCCTGTTTTAAAAACAATAATCTATAAGTTTAGTATTGATATGTTTTAAACCCACTTAGTCAACACCAGGGGCTGAGATAGAAGGGGGGTCAGGGGTACCCATGGCCACCCTTAGCCAATCATTGGCCACCCCTGTGGCCACCCTACCAATTATTTCCCTCTAATACAGATGGTGGCAACAGTAATACTCTCAAGTGAAATATTCAAAACATTTTAATTTTTCTTATTTTAACAAAAAAAAAACACTGTGATTAATTATGCACATCAATATAACATTAAAGACGATAAATACAGAATTTAAGCAGAAATAGCTTTTGTGTTTTATGGGCTAAAGTGAACAGTCATCTAGGAGTCTCATGAAATCATAAATTACTATTTTAATAAAAAAATATTAAATAATCAATTTATGTAGATATTTGTAATTGTAAATATCAATTTTATGCAGAATGATAAAAGTAGGTAAGTAATGACAATGGAAAAGCACTAATCTTTGAATATATTCATCTATTTGTTAGCAAAGGCTGTGAAAATAAAGTTGGTCTTTATCTTGAAAGGATGGATGTTTTGCTTGTTAATTTTCCTGTTGGAACAGTGTAGATTTACCTTGAGGTTTTGGTGCCTATCTACTTTCAGCGACCCCTCAGTGTACATTGGTTATTGCCTGGCCACCCTTATAAACATTTTCTGGCTACACCTCTGGTCAACACTTAGCCTATGCATTGATATAACTGCAGCCTTTGGTAGTATGTCAACCAATTTGAAATAATGAATTAGATAATCATGCTAAACTTAAAGGTTTGTCATTTTATTCTTTGCAAATTCCTTGCTTAGCTCCGGGTGTACATTTCAGCCATTGTCTTAAGCTTTAGTGGTAAAGGCCAAGCCGACTGGGCAAAAGTTCAAATACAAAGCTTTCATTTCAGGCAGAAGTAACAGTAGCTGTAATGTCTTCTTTGACCAGCTAAACCGGCTGAAATGTAGAACATGTCTCTCCTAGAGGGAGGGTGCATCGTGTCAGAGCAGGGCCGAAGTCTGGGAAATCCATTCTAAACACAGAAGCAAAGTCGGTCACAACAGCTGGCACAGAGGGGCTGTCCTCATAGCCTTAAGCAGAACACATCATGGGACACATTTATTGAGGGGGCCACAATGCTTTTTCTCAATAAGCTGTTTGTATAACTGACTTTCTGTTTTCTCCTGCAAAACATAAATGAAATAAATAAATAAATAAATAAAATGTTAACTGTCATGACAATGTATCATAGGATACTTATAGGGTCTTTGACCTGGGGGTGGAGATCATTTCATCTTAAGTTATGTTTGTGTAATGTTGGCTTTAACTTGTGATTAATAATTTCATTTTCGTAATGGCCGATTGGAAAATATGAACAATGAGCAGTCAAAGACGGTGGCTAACAGGGGTCAGTGCCCTGTATAACTAGCCCTGGTCCCTCTTATGGTCCCTGTATTGGAGACATAATACTAAATCAATTTCTTATGATTATATTCTCTGGCATAGAAACCATGATTGGTCCTTTAAATTATTTAGACTTTTGAATTTCAAAGTTTATCATTAACCCAGTTTTCATGTTAGATCAGAGGTTGATTCTATGCTAACTCAACATTTTAACAATAAAATATTTCCATTGTTTTGATTTACACTCCACAATGGCCCTCCTGCTACATCTGCTGTATAACTTTTAATTGTTTTAATTAAAAAGCTATTGGACTAAATTAGAAATTGATTCATTAAGAAACAACAGAAATTACAACATTGAAGTTTTTCACCTTCAGACTAACATAGACTTTATCTTATATTTTGCCAACTTTAGGTAAGAGCAGGTTCCACTTATTACTGTCTTGATAGGCTATTCAAGATTACAAAGACATGTTTTCCCTCATCTAATAAAGGAAACACTAACCAGGTGGATAATAAAATAATTACAACTCTTTAGAACATTTAATCTTTAGTTTCCCTCATCCAACTTGCAAAGCCACAAAACCTCATCTCTTTGTTACTTTGTATTGTCCACCAGGTCCTTACTCTGAATTTTTAGATGAGTTTTCAGAGTCCCTTTAACAGAGTTAACCCTTTAAAGCCTGATCCAAGAATAAAACAAAACAGAAAATAACTTTTTTTGGTTTGAATTCCTTATTTGACCTTTTAACAAAATATGTAAAAAGAAAAAACAGAAATACATTTTTGATATTAATAATTTATTACTATGCGATAAGACAAGATTATTTTTTGTGTAATCTTCTACTGGTTGTTATCAGGTATATCTGATTGTGTACAATAGGATTTTGAGCAAAGTTTTTACCATTAAATTATGCAAAAGGTGTCAGATGCAAAACATTTCAGAAACCGTATGTATCAAATACGATACATTTGGCATTATAGGGTTAAAGGATAGTTCTCCTCCCCAACAAGAAGGTTTCACATAAGCAGCTCATTTTCAGATAGTGCAGTTATACATTTTAAATAATATGTTTCACTTTCTCCCTCCTCTGTGTCGCTGAGCAGTGTTGCAGAGGGCAAAAGTATTGTTTATTCACAGGTTGGTGATTTTGTTGATAGGGTTGCTTGTTCTCTGTGTACTGCCTTAGACAACGCAGCCGCTTTGAAAAAGAAAAACTTTCGAAATAGAAGGCTGGCTCCCTTAGCTGCACACTCTGTAGCAAAATACTAGGAAACTAGAGAGAAAATGGCACTCTTCATGCCTATGGGAATCCTACCTAGTCTGGAAAAATAGTTTACTGCTGTAGAGGATCCTTTGTAAAGTAAGAGCAGCATATTTTACCTCATTAATAGAGGAGAATAAGAATAATCCTAGATATCTTTTTTAATACAGTTGCCAAACTCAGTCAGAGAAACAACTCGTTTGAACCGTCCATCCCACCTGCTCTTAGCAGTAATGATTTTATGGGATTCTTTATAAATTAGATTTCATCCCAAACAGGGTCACAAGGGATGCTGGTGCCTATCTCCAATTAACCTAACAGTCATGTTTTTGGACTGTGGGAAGAAGCATGCTCAGGGAGAACATGCAAACTCCATGCAGAAAGACCCCGGGTCGGGAATCGAACCCAGATCTTCTTGCCGCAAGGCGACAGTGCTACCGACTGCATCACTGAGCAGCCCTAATGGAAAGAGTTCACCCTTTTATAAAACATGTCTGGATGTGTAAAGACCGGAGGCAAGGCCAGGCCAGTTCCTTTGTATCTCTGCTTCTTTCTGTATGTCTGCTTCTGTCTCCTTGAACCCCTGTCCGCCTCGGCAGATGACCACTCACAATGAACCTGGTTCTGCTGGAGGTTTTTTCTTGTAGAAGGGAGTTTTTCCTTTCCACTGTTACTATAAGCATATCTGGGGTG